TCCGCTCTACACTCCCCTGACAGCAGTAGCCGGATCGAACACGGCGCCCCTTATCCTGTCAAAGAGGTCAGAATGTCAGGATGGGCAGAGTAGGACAAAATGGTTCCTGGACTACAATCAATCATGGCGGCTGAACTACAACCTGGAAGAGATGGCTAACGTCAAACCAGGGTGCGAGGGGAACCACCAGTGATATGTTGCCACTTTGTTCACAAGGGACCAATCCCCAGCTCCCATGGAGAGCCAACCCAAAATAAAACCCCGCCATTTTCCCTGCTCGGGGCGACTTCTCTGGCCCTCTTTCTCTGGACCAGAGAACCTCGCCCAGAAGCACAAACTCCAATAAAAAGCTTTATACTGCCTAACTTTGTGGCTGATTAGCATTTATTCCTCGGCAGAGCCTAAGAAAACCTTTCAGTGACGGCTGTACAACAGTGTGAACATCCTTAATGCCACTTGAGCTGCACACTTAAAAATGGTTAAAATAGTAAAACTTTATGATGTATACATTTTACCACAGTAAAGAGAGAGAGGGAGATATTAATTTGAATACTTTTCTGGGTGGGCCCTGTGGGAAAAGCTGAAATTCACAGCTTCTCAGAAACTGAAATTGTGTGCGTGTGTTTTAAAAATAAACCTTCCTCTTCCCACTTCACCCCCTTAGTTCTCAACCAATCAGTAGTGACTGTGCTCCACCATCTAGAAGGCTCTAGGGAACAGAATGGTGGAGATAGAAAGAAGGAGCTAACAGGGTGGGAAGGCTGGCCTGTCAATATGTTACTTGTTATTGTTCTGAAAGGATCGTTTTGGTAGCAAATGACAGACGCCTTCCTTGAGCTGGCTTAGCCACAAATGGGAAGGCATTGGGAGTATCCTGGAGGTGCTGGAGGAAGCATTAGTTTCCTATTGCTGGTGCAGCAAATTACCGCAAACTCAGTGCCTTAAAACCACACAAATTTAACTTCTTACATCCCTGGGCATCAGAAGTCTAAAATGGATTGGCAGGGCTAGTTTCTTTAGAGGCTCTAGGAGAGAATCTATTTCCTTGCCTTTTTCAGCTCCTGGGGGCAGCCAGCATCCCTTGGCTCATGGCCCCTTCTTCTATGCCTCCATTTACTTGCTTCCATGGTCACTTCACCTACTACTGACTGGCCCTCTTGCCTCCTCTTCGGAGGACCTTTGTGATTACCTTGGGACCACCTGGATCATTCAGGATAACCTCTGCATCTCAGAGAACTTAGCCACATCTGCAAAGTCCTTTTGCCCATGTAAGGTAACATATTCATGGGTTCTGGGGATTAGGGAGCTTTCTGTGAAAGCATGCAGGTAAGGAAAGGACTACTAATGCTCCCCATGCCCTCTCATAGGAACCTTCACCTTCAAGAATGGGGAGAAGTGGACCCCTTTCCCATGCAACAGATTGCTCCTGCCCAGCCACACCCAACTATCTCTATGCAGACCTTGTATCAGGCCAGGAAGCTCCCACCTCAGTAACTCGGGGCAGGGATGGGAAGGAGAGGAGCTGCAATGCCTGCTTGGCCGTTGTTGTTGGGGATGAAAAGAGTGGCTACAGTGGGCTTCCTGATAACCCCCAGTTCCACCTGGGTGCTTCGGCCTCCCACACCCCTCTCAGAGCCCTTCAAAGGGTTCTTGTCCTTGTGATTCACAAACACACCCACACTCTTCAGATGGTCAAAAGAAGACAACTCAAATCTCTAAAAATCCCACTAACTCAGAGGTAACCACTGTTAACATATTGATATATATCTTTCCTGAGATAGATTTAAGTATACAACTTTACAAAATTGTTATACTAACTGCTTTACAATCTGCTTCATTCACTCAATGATATATTGTGATCACTTTTCTCTGGCAATAAATGTAGAATTATCTCTCCATTTCTAGTGGTTTCATAGGATTGCATAGAATAACATAATTAGGACACAATTGACTACCAAGTCACTTTTAACTTATAAACCATATTGCCATGAACCTCTTTGCTATTTGTCTAGGTATCTCCTTAAGGTAAATTTCTAAATATGGAACTGCTGAGTCAAAGCTATACTTATTTACACTTGGGTATTATGGGTTAAATTGTGTTCTTTCCCCCTCCCAAAAGACATGTTGAAGTCTTAACTGCTAGTATTATCCATATTTTCTTCTGGTATGTCTATGATTTTACATTTTATTTTTTTCTTTAAATAAGATTTTATTTATTTTTAGAGAGGGGAAGGGAGGGAGAAAGAGAGGAAGAGAAACATCAATGTGTGGTTGACTTTCACACGCCCCCTACTGGGGACCTGGCCCACGATCCAGTTATGTGCCCTGACCGGGCATTGAACTGGTGACCCTTTGGTTCTCAGCCCGTGCTCAATCCACTGACCCACACCAGCCAGGGTTGATTTTATATTTTGAAGTTAATTTTTTGCTATACCTGGAATGTGTTTTCCTGCAAGAAGCGAGATTGGACTCTAGGTAGGTAGTTTTTCAAAGTGACTAGACAGTACCATGAAATAAATGACGCATGTTTTTCATGCCGATCTTAAATGCCACCATTGTCATATCCTAAATTCCCAAGTGTACTGGGTGCTACTTCTGGACTCTCTTGAGATCACTGTTGCAATTAGCCTAACTAGTCATTTACTCCTCATTATCCCAACTGGGAAAGCACCAAAAATGACCACCAGAGGGCACCTTCCATTGTCCTTGACCCACTCCAGGTCATCTAGCTGTCCCACCCTGCAGGCTGCATTTCAGTTGTGCACAAAGGCCAAACAGGCCACCCTAACTTCCTGCCTTCCTCTTGTGGTAAAAAGACAATAGTGAAGCCAGGGCAAGAGTGTAGGCGACAGGAAGTGGGCAGGTCCACACTCCCTGGTGTGGGCCTCCCTCTTGACAACACATATAGTCCCAGTCAACTGGGACAGGGCCACCGGCTGTTCTCAAAGCACCTGGCTTGGTTTATCCACATTGTCTCCACTAGGTGAGCTCTTATACCTCCTGGTCGGCCCAGTTCAAATGCTACTACTGAGATCCTCTTGGTCCTCCTACTTTTCTGCCTGTGCTCCCTCAGCACCAGCATTCATTGCTTTCTGTGGCAAGTGCTTGTGTGCCCTTCTGACCTGGAGAACGTGTGCTCTACCAGGGTCCAGGGTTTGCTCAGCTCCAACTGGAGACTTGTGAGCAGAGGGCCTGGTATATGGTGAAGGACACTGAACTTCACCTGCATTCTGGTATATCTTCACCTGCCTCCTATACCTTGGGAGGCTTCCCTGAGGGCAGGTGCTGGGTCTGATTCTTCTTTCTGGCCCTCACATTGCCCAGCACAGGGTCTGGCAAAGCAGGACCTCAGATTTGCTTTGGTGTGTGTAACTCACTTCTGTCCGTGGATGTCTTTTCTCAGCTAGCATGTATCTATCAGGCATTTTCTGTTGTGCCCGGACTGTGCTGGGTGCCTTGGTGGGAGGGGAGTTGAGGAAGCACCCTGTCCCAGCCGGGAGAGCAGACATTGCGTATGAGAGATTCCACAGCCCCATCGCTGGAGCTGCTTCCTGTTTATCAGTTGACTCTTTCATTTTACAAATGAGGAAACTGAGGCTCAGGCAGGGGAAGGTTTCATGTTGGGAGTTGTTAGCAGACTGACCCTGGAATTCTGATCTCTGGCACCCCAGGCTTGGACTTGCTATGCCAGGTGCTCTGTGGAAGCAGCAGGTTTGTGAAGTCTGCTGCATCACAGCTGGATGGGGTCGTCCTGAACGGTTAATGACATCATTTATGAACAAATCAGTGGAACACAAGCCAAAGAGTTGCTGCTTTAGTAGCAGAGGATGACCTCTACCCGCAGAGGCATTTATTCACTTCTTGAAAGCTCATTTAAAATTTGCTTTTAGGGAGGTTTTTGAGAAGCTACTCTTTAGATGGACCCTAATAAGGAGCATAGACTTTGCAAATGAATGGAGCTGGGTTCAGATTTCAGAGTCCCTCCCTGGCTGTGCAGAGTTGATTCAGGATATCACCTTCCAAAGTGTCAGTGTTCCTACCTGTAACATGGAGATGATCATCTTCCAGGTAAGTGGAAGAGTGGAAAACCCTGGTGTCAGGCCCTGGCCCCCAGCAGGGGCTCAGTCATGGGCTCCCCAGTTCTGTGGCGCTTGGCCCATTGCGTTCCTCTCATACCAGTGCCCTCCAGCAACATCCTGCTGGGAGGTTGGAATCCGCCACAGTGGGAGTAGTCACATTGTGGAACTTAGCAAACACTACCAACCAGGAAGCTTTTTGTTTCCCGAGACATTTTCCAGACATCCCAGGGTGTCATCATTATCGCTGAGAACAATAACTTGTGAACTCCGGCAGACCCCATGCACACAGTCAGACTGTTAGTGCTGACACAACTGCTCATCTCCGCCTGAGCAGTCAGCTCAACAGAATGGTTGATCGGTGTCCTTGTGGGAGGCTGGTCCTGTTCAGAGGCTGTCATCCTCCCTGGAAAATGTCTTGTCAAGTTGTGGGGAAAAACCCAATTCAGTAAAAATTTCTGGATGCCAGCTGTTACGTACCCTCTGGAACAGGAGAACTTCCCTCTCCTCTCCAAGCAGAAGCCAGGTTAGCGGCTCCAGGGCTCCCTGGGCCTTTGTGTGAGCTGCTCTCGGCGCGGGTGCGTGCAGGATGGAATGCCTGTCACAGGCGAGCTGGGCACTTACCCAGGTCTGCCTCTGGGTGGGAGTCAGGGTCCTCTCCTCCCGAGCTCTGAGCTCCGGGAATGCTCAGGACAGGTACGACTGTGGGGACACCCCTGTCCCCGCACCCAGGGCCTGACCCAGCCTCACTAGGACAAGCTCCTGGAGGGGCCACGGGGACAGCAAGAAGACTCTGGCTCCAGGAAAGCCTCAGGAGTCAGATTCCCTGGAAGAAAGGATGGCCCGGTGAGGGCGCCGGGGCCTTTCCCAGGGGCTGAGCTGAAAGAGGAAGTGTGGTCAGGCCTTGGCACTTGCTGCTCTGGGGCGGGTGGGGGGCCTGTGGGCGAGGAACGCCTCTCGTCTGCTGTGCCTCAGCCACGGCACTCAAGACACTGCTGTCCCCTCAGCCGCTCACATCTGAACTTGCTTATGACCCAGGTAAGCATCTGGGCCTGTTGTGTGAGTGACCATCCAGGGTTGGCCTGGGGGTTGTGGCTGGAGCCTCCATACGACCACTGGGTGGGGTTGGAGAGACACTGGTCTTGAAGAACCCACTGTGCCAGTCACTGGCTGGGCGACCTCAGAATCACTGCGCCCCTGTCGGGCCTCCATTTCCTCTTGTGTGTGTGCGCGTTGGGGTGATGAAGAAGCCCATGTGTCAGGTTGAAATGACAACTGGGAGTGAGGTTGTTACCTCTCAGGATGCTGCTGGGAGTTTTGGTAGCTGAGGGCCCTGAGGGGTCTGTGCGGAGGGTCGGGTGGAGGCGTCCACTGTGCGAACTTTGGGCTGTGTCATGGAGCTGTTAGATAAAAACCCTGCACCACCACCAGCCTAGGTAACTTTGTCACTGTGCCTCTGGCACTCAGACATTTATCTGTAAGGCATCCTGCCTTCCAGAGGCCTCGGGATCGAGGTGTATTGGGTTGGGGTCAGATCTCCATTTTGTTACCTGCTCTTGCCCTCTGGAAAATTACTGTGCAGGAGACCTGGGTTCAGCTCTGTTGCTTCCACTTCCACCTTCCCACGCATCACTCGTCCGAAAGCACTTCCTTCCCTGCCCTTTGCACGTAGTGACCTCTGAGGGAGAATTGAAAATGGACATTGATGAGCCTGGAGATGACAAGGCCAAGGAGCTTCTTTTTATTTTTATTTTTTAAGGATCTTCCCCTGCCCTACCTCTGAGAGTTAGAAAACTACAGAGAAATACAGAAACAGTGGTTCCAAATTCCACCACCTCACAACGGTGGCAGGGAAGAGTTTGGGTTTCACCTTCTACTCTTTTTTTCCTGGGTATAGGTATTTTGAAAAGTTTTATTTTGATGTAAATACATTCTAGAAATAGAAATACAAACATCACCACTGTGGTCAGGACCCAGGTTACTGTGCCCCCTGCACCCACCCACAACACTGGCATTATTGCCTGGGAACCACGGAGGGACAGGTTGGGAGTTTTCCTTCATATTCTTAGAACCAAACGCATAAGAAAAGTGAACAAAGAGACAATTTGGATGCAAGGAAACACTTCTGGATGGTAGAAATTTGTGGGTAAATGTACCCGGAAGCTTAAATGATCTGCCACTCTGGGGCGCTCTGCTAAGGGCGACCAGCATCTCGGAGGTACTACAAAGGTGACCTGTTTGGGATCAGGGAGCAGAAGCTCTTTCAAGGTGTGACACCTAAGTTTTTGAAAGTGTGTTTACCTTATGCTTCACAGTAAGGCCAAATGATAGCGACAGAAAGAAGGGCCCTACTCTCCCACACCTAAAAATCAAAATCGTTTTTCCATGTTTGCTCCCCGTCGCCCCAGCCGCAGGCTCAGGGGCCAGCCCTTGCTGGTGTGGCTGCAGCACAGACACGATTGTATTCTACTCTTTTCCTTTTCATCAGTTTCCCAACTGTCCCCTCATGATGTTTTCTTCCTGTTGCCCGATTGCCACGTCCTGTCCCATCAGGTGACTCTTCTGTCATCTTCTCCTCCTGCGCCCCAGGGTGGGGCTGCTGGGCAGCTCCCTGCTCATCTGCACACTCAGGTTCGTCTTCACACACATGTGTGTACTTAGGTTTTACTTCCTCTGGATTATTTCTGAGGCTAGACTTCTAGAAATGATGTTATGGAATCACAGGGCAACAACTATTTTTTAAATGTATTACTATTTGCTTTCCAAAAAAATGTAAGGGAATGTGTACGGAGGATCCGTTTCACCACAGCTTTGCCAGGATAGGATTTTATCATTCCTTTTTCCCTTTTGCTAGCAAACAGAGTAGTTTCTAACTGAAGGCAGACCAATGTGCCAGAAGAACGATGAATGAGCACGGCCAAGCACACACGAACAGAGTTGGATCCTGTAAGGAAACAAATCCAACACGAAGATGGATCTGGGCGTGAGGGCGTGCCAGATGTGCTGCCCCACTGAAGGCCCCGGGTGCAGTCAGCACGGTGCTGCGTGGCCAGAGCGGCTCTTTCAGTTTGCCCTCGTCCCCTTAGTTCCCTGGGATCAGCCTTTCACAGAAATGGGAGGGTAGACAGAGGGAGAAGAGAGGCTGCACCCCTTTTAATTTCATTACTCTGCCCTTTCCCAGGCACACTTGGCTTGTAAGTTGCCAGGAACTATCCACATGGCCATTTGTGCTGCTCACCTCAGCCAGAAGGTCTGGCAGGGATCCCCTCTCCCACCGCCCGCCCCCACCTTCCCCCCCACCCCGCCCCCAGTGAGCCTGGGCAGTGACCGTTTGGGAACTAGGGGTGAATTCAAGCGAGAAATGCTTATATTACCCTGCAAGTATTAGCTGATATATTCAGTCTCCCAGGCCCTTGGGATCTAGGTTGAGACCAACTCAAACCCTCATCTTATGCTCTGCTGAAGTCCAAAGCCCTCCCTGAGACTGCTGTGGGGTCCCCAGGGGGCCCCCTGTCCCATGCCGCACTGACCAAGGGTAAAGTCAGCTCTCTTCTTGGTTCCCTACACCCAAAACAAAATGATGGATGCAATAGATTTCACTAAAGATTGGGCAGGGGGCCACGGGGAGAGGTTTGTAAGGCTGTAAGGCAGCAATTCAAACAACAGCCCTGTTCTTAAAATGCCATGGCCACTCCACCCCTGAGCACCTGCCACCAGTTGCCCCTTCCACCTTCCTACCACACAGCTGGCCCCCTGCCCTCCCCTCCTCTCACCCCTTCCCCTCTCCTTCTCCCCCAGAACTCCAGGTCCCCCCACCCAGTACACAGAGGAATTCAATCTTCTCCAGTTCCTACCAGCCAACTTCAATCCCGGCCCAGCCAGCTAAGTTCTTTAAAGGCAGCTCATTCTATTTTTTACTTCTATTTTTAAAATGAGGTATAAATAAAACACAGGTTTTAAATACACAGTTCAATACATTTGACAATTGTGTATGCTCTGTAACCATTGCCCAAAATAAGATGTAGAATATTTCCATCACCCCAGAAAGTCCCCTTGCGCCCCTTTCCAATCACACCCCTTCCTCCTCCATTGCAGCCGCTGTGCCAAGTTCTACCTCAATCACATCGTTGAGTCTGTTCTTGAACTTCCTATACAGAAAAGCACACAGGCTGTGCTCATTTACCTCTGGCTTCTTGCACTTAATGTTTCCAGGGTTCATCTACATTGTTTGTGTATCAGAATCCATTTTTTAAAATTTCTAGGTAGCATTTTTTAAAATATTTTATTTGTTTGTTTGTTTGTTTGTTTGTTTGTTTTTAGAGAGAGGGGAAGGGAGGGAGAAAGAGAGGGAGAGAAACATCCATGTGTGGTTGCCTCTTGTGTGTCCTAGGGACCTGGCCTGCAACCCAGGATGTGCCCTGACTGGGAATCGAACAAGTGACTCTTTGGTTCCCAGTCCGGCGCTCAATCCACTGAGGCACACCAGCCAAGGTTCTAGATAGCATTTTATTGTGTGAATATACCAGCCATTTTATCCATTCTCCTATTGAATTCCATTCTGTTTTTATAGTTTCATATTCTTTGAATAAGTACAACTTGCCCAGATGATTGATATTAAGAATAAAAGCGTGAGCAGGACCAAGGGGAAAAATCTTCAGTGGGGAGTAGGTACAAAAACAGGGGAAAAAGATGACATTTTAATAATACATTTTACTTACCCCAATATATTTTAAATATTATCATTTCAATATGTAACCGATGTAAGTATTTAATAACAAGATTTTTTACATTCTTCTTTCCACACTATGTCTTTGAAATCTAGTGTGCACTTCACACTTACCTCTCAGCTCCAACTTGCCACCTCACTCAGCAAGTGCTCAATAGAATAGCCTCCTGGGGCCAGCTGCTGCTGTCTTGGTCAGTGTAGGCCTCTGCTAAGGAGATGAGTGTCCAAGGCCACTCCTCAGACGCAGTCCTCAGAAGCAAGGAGCTGGATTAGAATTCAGATCTCCCCAGCTTCTTGCTGAGCTGTTTGCAAGTCTGCCTCCTTCTACAGACACTTTTTTGAGGCTTCTTGCAACTCCAACTTTCTGAAACTCGAAACCCTTCCCTAAACACATTCTACCTCCACCTTTTAGGACTCATGGCTATTTCAGATCATTTATTCTTCATGAGGAAGACTCAGGTTTTTTCAGCATGCAGGGCACAGCCAGCAGTGGGCTATGGAATAAATCTGGGGGCTCACACTCAGTACTCTTGGTGAGATGGGCTGAAATAGTTGAGAAGATGTTGGCATGCCCCACATGTCATGAAGACATTTGAAGAAATTTGTTTCATCTGTGTGAATATATGAGTAGCTGTGACATGGTAAGCTGTATGTCTTGCTCTGAGGATCTTGCTTGAAAAAAAAAAGCAAGTGCTAAATAAACCCACAGCCTCTCAGTCTCTGGAATTCCCGGCGATGGACAGTGAGTATGATTTCTGTCACCAACTCCCCAGAAGTGCCTTTTGGGGAAGTGAGACTTGGGGCTGGGATGGCTGCTGCTCTGAGCCACACTCCCACTCTTACCCCACTCAGAGTTGCAACAGGCTCATGGACAGTGGTGTCTGAGGTTCCCAAGGAATGGGGAGAGATAAGATAGAAGCTGGAACTCCCCACTCTGGCGCCTGGGTGTCCTGTGCTTCTCAGTCAGCTTTTCTTTGCCAGCAGCAGGTGGCAGATGGAGGACAGGGAACCTGCCTCAGGCCATGTGTCCAGGTGAGGTGGCTTTGGAATTAGAATTTCAGACCTTGGATCCAAGCTGCCTACTACCCTGCATTGTTGTGAGGGAGGTCCACCAGAGTCAGGGGAAGGGGCCAGGGCATTATTTGTGCCTATAGCCACAGACACAAATGGAGCGCCCACCGTGTTCCAGGTGATGTTCTAAGCTCTGAAAACAACATGAAAGAGAAGGTCAAGGCCCTTGCTCTCATGGAGTTTTCAGGCCACTGTGGGAGACAGACAATGAACAAATACTGAGAGACAGCCATCCCAGTAA